GGGGCCGCCGCCTCTGCCCGCTCCTGAAACCCAGCATGCCCCGAGTGAGCTCTGAAGCACCCTTCCCTGCCTCTCAATGGCCTCCCACCCCTTAAGGGGCTTTGCTTGTTCAAATTACGCTCAGTGTAGTCAAACAGACGTTGTTGTTTCACCAGAAAGGTCCCCACCAGGTGAAGCTGAAGCCCTGTCCCCGACCCCCTGCCTCAGATAGCGGATCATACAGACAGGTCCTCGTCAGCAAAGCAGTTGGCTTTGCTGCTGCCCGCAGCGTGCTCCAAACCGATTGCTGCCCTTGTAGCTCCACCAGCCCCACCTCACTGCAGCTAATCTGAACACTTGAGCTGGGGTGGGGGTGAGGGCTAAGCTAGAAAACACTGACCCAAAGCAACCTGTTGAGCTGGTTCTCCAGGGCTGCGATCTCCCCTGTGTGCAGTTGCTATCCCTGTCCTTGGCACAGTCTCTTGTGTCCGAGCCCCAGTGCCTTTTGTCCAGGCCCTCCTTTGTTGGCCAGGCAGAGCCCTGACCCTTGGATGGCTCTGTCCGTGACTCTGTGCCGCTGCCTTCCGCATGGAGGTACCTAAGCTGTTTCAAGAGCCCAGTGGTTGTGGCTGCTCCTCCTGGAGGTCACTGTCCTCCTTTTCTGGGCAGGAACTTGCCTTTTTGCTCCAACAGTGGCCTTCTCCAGGCATCATAGTTCTTTGTAATATGTTGAAGTTAATTTGAACTGACGGATTTTGTTGAACTGTGTGTTTAAGCTGTTGCATTAAAAGGCTTTCTTCTACATAAATGTCTGTTGTACTTTCATTTGTGCCTTTTCAGCTTTCCGCCTTGAACTTGGTAGTAATAATAATAAAAGCTGTTTCATATTGAGCATTCATCCATTCATTGAACAAATATACCGAAACGTTTGCGGGGCAGGCCCTGGCGTGGTGCTGGGGAGACAACAGCGAATAGGAACAGCCCCTGCTTTCAGAGGGTTGATGGTGCATTGTTAATTAGGAAAATCACATGAGTATAAATCACAGCTGGCCTACGTGTTGAGCCCTGAGTCGTCAGACAGTGCTTTACCTGCCTAAAAATGGGGAGCATCACAGTGGGGGAAAGAGAGCCCTGAGGAAGTAAAGCTGGGGTTGGGTTCTAAAGTGGGAGGTTAACTAGTGAAGAGGGGAGGGGAAGGCAGGTGTGCAGAACAGAACAGCATCCGAGAGGCCCTATTTGGGGGACAGGGTACGTGCAGGGACCAAAAGGGCCATTCAGGTTCATGGAACGTGGCATGGGGTGAGGCTGGTGAGAACTACAGGCTGCCTCCCCTTCCTGGACTGTGTCCTAGTTAAATTGTTTTCACCTTATCAAAGAAGCGTTATGATTCTGCAGAGAGAGAAAGCGTTTGGGTTTTCCCTTCACTCCGTCGCGTAGCACTAAGCAACATTCAGCTGCTAAGCACACTGCGGCTGAGCGTTCGTAAGCTTGAGTCTCTGTTTCGGCAATCACTGCTCTCTTGGCAGAAGTGGATTTTAGGCAAACCTGGGCCCAAGACTGGTCCGGGGACAGTCTCGAAGCGGGGAGCTATACCCCTTCTATTGCCGCCTCTGAAGCAGGCATGGCTCTGACTCAGGCAGGTTTAGTGGTGCCATCCAGCCACACTGGCCTACCGCATCCTCTCGAGCTCTAGAAAGCAAGTGTCTTGATTTGCTAGTGCAAACATAGACGTTTCCAATAAACAGTGTGGTAAGCTTCCTTATCCCCATCACCCATCTTTGAAACTTGTCACCATTCTGTCATTTCCCAAGAGGCTTTGAGGATTAAAACTGCTTCTCATAGGTTCACGTTTCTACAAGAGAAAGCTATTGATGTGGTTGTCTTAATGATCATGGAATTCTACCCCCTACCCCAAGAGAAGGTAAAAGAGTCATTCCATGGGAATGACAGTCTTCCATAAACTCCCGTGTGGGGGCCAGATCATGCAGGGTCTCGTAGGCCGTGTAAGTTTTGTCCTTATTCTAATGATGGGAAACTACTGAAGGATTTCTGCGAGGATGAGACATCAGATTTGCATCTTTAAAAAAAACCTTTGAAAAAAAAAAAAAAAAAACCTTTGGACTGCACAGTAGAGGACTGGAGGCCCAGGGTGGCTGCAATTAAACTAGTACAAGGCAGTGAGAGCAGGAGTTCCCCTGAGCTCGGATTAGGATGATGGCAGTGGATTTAGGGACAAGGAGACGGCAAAATGGATTTCCTATGGAAGATGAGTGACATGGCAGCTGGTTGGGGAATGTCAGATTTTGGCTTCTGCAGCGAATGAAGGTGGGGCGTGTTTACTGAGACCGAGAACATGGGCAGAGGGCAGCAGAGAATGAGGAGGGGGCAATGCAAAATCATGAGCTGGTTTTAGACATGAGCTCGCAGTGTTATTGGGATACCCAGGTGCTGATGGCAGGCAAGCAGGGGGCTGAGATGTGACCCAGGAGCTCCTGAGGGTGGACTAGGCTGAAGGGAAAAGTTGGGGGTCCTCCTAGACGGGGAGAACAAACTGAAGATGTGTTTGTAAATTAGGTAGCTGAGGAGAAAGGGAGTGAGGAACGAAGAGGGCAAAGCCTGAGGAAGTGCCCGCGGCCAGCATCCAGGAGATCTGCACAGGGGACAGACCGGAAGCAGCCAGAGAGGCGGGTGGGTGGGACTAGGTGACGGTGGGCTGGAGGCTTGAGGAGTGAAGCCAGTTTGAAATGTTTGTGGAAAACAGGAAGCGGGAAGCTGAGACAGAAGGGCAGAGCCACCTCGAGGACACCACTGAATCTGTTGCTGGTAAATGTTTAGCAGAACCAGTCTGCCAGCCTGATCGTCTTCTCGGCTGGCATTTGGCAGCTCAGGTACAGGAGGGGACAGCTGGAGTGTGTACACCCCTGAGCGGGATGAGCACTGACTGTCCCCGAAGGACCTGTCTGAGCGGCTCCCCCCACCTTCCCTGCAGGGGAGAAAAATCTAGACCTGGGAAGCTACCCTGCAGCATTTCTTCTTCTTTTTTTTTTTTTTGGAGACAAGAGTCTCACTCTGTTGCCCAGGCTAGAGTGCCGTATCATCAGCCTAATCACAGCAACCTCAAACTCCTGGGCTCAAGCAATCCTTCTGCCTCAGCCTCCTGAGTAGCTGGGACTATAGGCATGCGCCACCATGCCTGGCTAATATTTTCTATATATTTTTAGTTGGCCAGCTAATTTTTTTCTAATTTTTAGTAGAGACAGGATTTTGCTCTTGCTCAGGCTGGTTTTGAACTCCTGACCTTGAGCGATCCTCCCGCCTCTGCCTCCCAGAGTGCTAGGATTACAAGTGTGAGCCACTGGGCCCGGCTGCATTTCTTCTTTAATGAGGCTGCACAACCCCTCAGCCAGCCCGCAGCCGAGAAGTGGGTGCTGTGTGCCCTGCCAGGAGCCCAGAAACACCGCGTACATCAGACGTGGGTACTGCAGCTTTGGGGCACTGCGGGGTGACATCCATTTGGTTGTCCACTGTACCATGGGTGGGTCAGTTTCTGAAGTTCTGACCTAGTGTACACCCCCTCCGTGGACTTCAGCGCTCATCCAGGTTTCTGCTCCTTATAGCCAAAGCCCCACTGCCCAAGTCAAGTCTACCCTTGGCTCCGTCTCCACCTCCCTCAGACACAAGGCGGCCTCCTGGGAGGCGAGACAGATTTTGCAGCACTTTTAATACACAAAGCAAAAGTCATAGGCTGGCTGGGTGACCAACCTTCATTCCACATACAGAGCTCCAGTACAGACAGACCATTCGGGAAATAAGTTCCAGCTCACAAGGGCCTGGGAGCTGAGAACAGGAAACGCTCTTCCTTTGGCAGCTGTGGATGTGAGGACTCCGTTTTCTGGGAACGAAAAGGTAAAAATGAATGTGTCTAGAGCAGGGGTCCTCAAACTTTTTAAACAGGGGGCCTGTTCACTGTTCCTCAGACCGTTGGAGAGTGCGCGCTGTGGGCCCGGGATGAGTTGGCTGCTAAGCAGGACAGGCAGCGGTGGCAAAAACACCCGGTGGGCCGGAAAAATGTCCTAGGCGGGCAGCATGTGGCCCGCGGGCCGTATTTGAGGACGCCTGGTCTAGAGTATGGCAGACAAAGAAAGTGGGATGGCCCAGGCCAGGCCCTCTGGCCAGCGAATGGAGCAGCAGTGCCCAGGGAGAGCCCAGCCCAGCGTGTGGGCAGGCGGGGCAGCTGGCAGGAGAGCACCCCGGCCCTCTGCGCTGTGATCAGCACCCACCGGGTCACACAGCCAGCCACCTCCTGTGATTCTAATGGCTCTCCCCAAACTCCTTGGCTCTTTAGAGGAGGCCAGCGACACAGCACGGTTCTCAGTGAGTTTGCGGCAGCCAGTTCCCGCCCAGTTCTCCCAGCCTCTCCCGGGCTCCTCCGTTGCTGCTCTCGCCAGTCCCCCCACCCCCACCCTCCCACCTGCCTGTGTTCAGTGCAGGGCCTCCATGGCCTGGTGCGCCTGCAGCACAGCCACTGCCTCTTCCACCTGGGGGACGCAAGTGGGAGGGACTTAGTATAGCGGCCCAGCAGGTCCCAGAAGAGCCTGGACAACCCCCCCAACCCCCCGCCTCAGCATGCTGGGTCCCAGGATCCTCCGTCATCCACGGCACCTCTGCAGAGCCCTCCCGCTGGCGAGATGCCACGCCCCGCAGTCACCTCGGAGACAGGTTCACTGCTGGACGGCTGGAAAAACCTTGACCCTCTACTGAGGCAGAACGCACCTCCTTGCACCAGAACCTTGCCTCCGGGGCCACACAGAATTAGCTGGAAGCAGCGAAGCCTCAGTGAGGGCCCTCTCCCACGCCAGGATGCAAAGGCCGTCAGGTACCAGCAAGAAGGCAAACTTTATCTGGCCAAACGGCTGCCCAGGAGCTCGCCTGGGACACCCTGTCCTTAGCTCTCCTCCCGCCCAGGCTCTGGCCTACCTTGGCATGGAGGGACTCTGGGGACTCCAGCATGAGCAACAGCTCCGAGTTGTCAATCTCCAGCAGCATGCCCGTGATCTTGCCGGCCAGCTGCGCGTGGACGTCATGGATAAGGTGGTAGAGGCGCTCCCCTGTGGAGAACACCCTCCAATGGCCAATGCACACGCCCGGCTCATACCCCAGCGTCCCAGGCGTGGAGCAGGGAGGGCAAACGGGTTCTTGTCCCGGAACTGTGTGCTGAACCTTACTGGCAGCCGCTTTCCCCCACCGCAAGGTTGGCTCAGCAAATCCCACCGCGGGAGACAATTTCAGAATCGAGTTTGACATTCTGTGTGCAGCGCTGTGCAGGGTGGGTTCTGACATAAAGCTGGCTGCTGTTTAAAGACTACTCACGTTCATTTTGCAAGAAATAGCGTGAAGTAGTCTACACGATGACATTCTAGACAGGATATGATGATGCTCAACGTGAGACTTTGGGGGTCAAGGTGAAGAGAAAAATGCTTAGGATGAATTCACTTTCCACCATCTGGTATCCCTAGTGACAGGGCCCAGGGTGGTGGTCGGCAATGGGTGGGGGCCCCAGCCAGGCTAGGGTGCCTTAAGGCGGGAGGTGGAAGGGGTCTTCCCTGAGGAAAGTGAAGATGGGTGCAGGGAACTGCTAACAAAGCCTTCTGCCGTCATTAAGCTCCTTTAAAATGTCTCTGGGATGTGGTAAAGTGGCGAAACCCTAAGTGAGCTGAGGAAACAATGGGGTGGTGGCAATGGGGGCCTTCAGCAAAGGGTCTAGAGATCCTGGTGGCCATGAAGAACCTGCCAACCAGGAACAAGCTTGATCATATAAAAATTAGTGGTAATTCTTTCAGCAGGTGCCTGTCCCAGACACTCGGAGGGAGATGAATTGCACGAGGAACCCCGAGTCTAGTGGGGAGCAACATGGGCTCACCCACTGTGCTCGCTCGCATCCCCGCCTCCCTGCAGCGGGCACCGGGGCTCGTTCAGGAGGGTTGTGAGGAACAGCAACCCCCACTTTCCGGCCATTTCCCCACAGAAGCCCGAGACCCTACCCACAGTCCTCCTAGCCCTGATCTCCCCATGTCTGGGTGTCGCCCACTCTAAGTCAGAGTCACAGGACAGCAGAGCGGGAACAAACGTTGGGACCATCTAGTCTGACCAGCGTTTTAAAGCAAGAGCACAGGGACCTGGAGAGTAAGGGGCAGCCCGAGCAGGGCCAGCCAGCAGGCTGGCCAGCGACAAAGCTGGACCTCGCCCTCTCTCGTCTGTCCTCCAGGCAGGGCGTTTCCCAGTGTGGGAGCCAGCTCCCGGCCCCCTTCTTCTTGCCCCGGGGCAGGAGCAGCAGCCACTCACCAATCATCTGCTTTTGCTCGTCCGGGGACGCCGCAGCCAGCATGGACGCGGTCAGGGGCTCCTGTCCGGGGACGTGCACCGCGGGCTCCTGGACCTGCACAGTGCCAGGGACGGGGGGCAAGGCCGTGAAACACTTACCCTGTCAGGCGAACGCGAGGCCGGCAGGGCTCTGGAAGAGGCGAGCAGGGGCAAGGTCTGGATGACCAGGTGGCAGAGGGACCCTAACAAGGGCATGGAGGGTTAGGAGACAGTATGATGCTCTAACGTGGAAGTTTTCTGTGGCACCGTGGACCTGTTAAGGCCCATGACGGCCGTCGCCAAATGAAAGCCATGCGTTATACAAATCACGTGGCGCCAAACAAAGAACTGTCATCAGGTAGCTCTACCCACCGACACATCCTCAGCACTCTCTGACCCTTTCACATCTTGGTGACTTTAAAAGTGTTTTGCTGTTTAAAGACTATTCTTTGTTCATTTTCCAAGGAATAGATCAAAGTAGACACATTTAAACATTCCGGACCGGATGTGATAATCATGAATTTCAGACTTTTTGGGGGGCAGGGAGATAAATACACAGCCTTTCATTTAATTATAGTATTTTCAGTTAGGTTATGAGGATTAATCTTATCCCTTCAGTGCTCTACATATTTTTAGAATACCTTTTCTTGTTGCTTAACACAAATACTATTGAAATCCAAATTAATCTTGGTAATAACTCGAGCAAAGTGAATTGTAATTAATAAACAAACGTGACCCTGGCCTTATTTCCCCTTCTGTCAGTAAGGGTGATCTCTTATTGGTTACACATATGAATAAATGAAACTTTATGAGCCAAGAAAATAAAGCAAACCCAGGCCCAACACCGTAGCCAAGGTTCTGAGCCGGACCTTCTGGAGCCCAGACTGCGCTCAGCCTTACCCGAGGGGCGTTGTGTGTTGCCGAAGAACATTTGTATGTTGGGGGAGGCCGGCCTGGCGTAAAGCATCCTGCCCCACTGGGTCCTGTGGTCTGGGTACCAATATTGGCTAGGAAAAAAAAAAAAGGAAGGTTCATATAGCTACAATCAAAAAACAAAACAGAAAATAACAAACGTTAGCAAGAATGCAAAGAAGCTGGGGCCCATGCCTATAGTCCTAGCACTTTGGGAGGCCAAGGTGGGAGGATCCCTCAAGGCCAGGAGTTTGAGGCCAGCCTAAGCAACATAGCGAGACCTCATCTCTACAAATAAAATTAGCCAGGCACGGTAGTATGTGACTATAGTCCCAACTACTTGGGAGGCTGGGACAAGAGGATAAATTGAGTCCCGGAGTTTGAAGTTGCAGTGAGCTATGATGCCACTTGCACTCTAACCCGGGCAACAGAGTGAGACCCTGTCTCAAAAACATAAAAAGAAAAGAAATTGGGGGTGGACGCGGTGGCTCACGCCTGTAATCCTAGCACTCTGGGAGGCCAAGGCGGGCGGATTGCTCCAGGTCAGAAGTTCGAAACCAGCCTGAGCAAGAGCGAGACCCCATCTCTACTATAAATAGAAAGAAATTAATTGGCCAACTAATATATATAGAAAAAAATTAGCTGGACATGGTGGCGCATGCCTGTAGTCCCAGCTACTCAGGAGGCTGAGGCAGGAGGATTGCTTGAGCCCAGGAGATTGAGGTTGTTGTGAGCTAGGCTGATGCCACGGCACTCACTCTAGCCTGGGCAACAAAGCAAGACTCTCAAGCAAGACTCTCAAAAAAGAAAAAGGAAAGAAAAGAAATTGGGACAGTTGTGCACTGTTGGTAGAAATGTAAAATGGTGCAGCCCCTATGGAAAACAGTGTAGGGGTTCCTCGAAAAATTAAACAGAATTACCATACCATCCAGCAAGTCTACTTCTGGGTATATACTCAAAAGGATTGAAAGCAGGGTCTCAAAATGGTATTTGTACACAAAATTTTATAGCAGCATTATTCAAAATATCCAACAGGTGGAAGCAACCAAGGTGTCCACCAACAGATGAATGAACGGATAAACAAAATGTAGTCATACAGTGGAATATTATTTAGCTTTAAAAAGGAAGGAGATTTGGACACATGCTATCACATAGATGTATTTTGAGGACATGCTAAGTGAAATGTAGCCAGTCACAAAAGGGCAGATACTATATGATTCCACTTATATGAGGTACTAGAAGGGTCAAATTCACAGAGACAGAAAGCAGACTGGCGGCTGCCTGGGGCTGGGGGAGGGAAAGTGAGGAGTTAGGGTTTAACAGCTAGAGAATTTCAGTTTTGCAAAATGCATAGAGTTCCAGAGATGAACGGTGGTGATGGTTGCACAACAGTGTAAATGCACTTAACACCACTGACCTAGACACTTAAAAATGGTTAAGGGGGTCAATTTTATGTTATATGTATTTTACCGCAATTAAAAAAAAAAAAAGAAAGAAAAGAAGCAGGAGTGTCAGGGCCTGGCAGCAACCTAAGGCCAGGGATTGAATGTGGCTCGTTCATGCAGAATCCCCTGAGCGTGGGCCAGCACCTGAGAACATTTGCTGAATGAAGGAACAGATGTACTTGCCTTATAGCCAAAATCTACATACACCCTCGGGCACAGCCATTGCAGTATCTTGCCCTGAGATTCAGGTTCAGTGCTAAGCCCAGTGTGTGTGTGTGAGATCCCATTAATCCTCACAAGAAAATGGGGGTATTCTTTTTATCCCTCTTTTAAAGATTAGGCCATCAGATACAGTAGTCAGCAAGGGCCACAGAGTGAGTTGGTCCCAGGAACTGGAGGCCAAGCTAACTACCACGCCACATCCGGTCTCTTAAAATCAGCCTTGCTCACCAAGCGGGCATATGGCAAGGTCGCCATGGAGGCTGTCCCGACTCCCTTGCAGCGCCAACCCCAGCACCAAGCCCTAACCCACCCACCCCCACTCCCCTGGGCCCTGCCCACACTCACCCACTCTTTGGGTGTGGGGTACCGGGCGTGGCACCTGGGTGGAGGCCTGCCTGACACTGCCGATGTGGGCCAGGGGACGCCGAGGGATGCCTGGTGTCCGGACCATCGAGGTGGCGGGAGGGTAGGCAGCTTGTGACGCTGATACCATGGAGAGACAAAGGTTGAGCGGGCAGAAGTGGGGGATGATCAGAGAGGCACATTGTGCCCTGGAGATTCCAGGGCCAGCAAGAGCATGGGGAGGGGAATCAGGAAATTCACAGCAGAAAAATGAGTGAATTCACCTAGACCCAGACCTCTGGGGCGGGGGTGTGGAAATCCGCAATCACAAAGCCAACTCGTGTCTACCCAAGGAGCCCCAGGATGCATAAGCACCATGATCATGGGGTACCTTCGTACCCCAAGACAGTTTCAAGTGAGTGTGAACTTCACTCTTACAGAGCAGGGCCACTCCTCAACAACATAGCCAGAGGAATTTAATTTTCTCAGCTTTGCAAGACTTCTCAGAGCCCCAAATCAGAGAAATCTCTGGAGACACTTACACTGGCTACATTGCGTGTCTTTCCCAGGCTCGCCTCTGTGCTTGGTGCTTTATGACACATCTCGATCCCCTTGCTCAGAAGGGGAAACTGAGGCCAAGAGGTGACGTTACCCCTGGCAAGTGGCAGAGCCAGGCCCGACCCCTACATTATCACTGCCTAATGGGGCCCACACCCACAGGCTAGGCGGAGGGTAGAAGGGACTGGGTCACTCACATGAAGGTCTAGGTGGCTGGGCCGTCCACCTGGGGGCAGGCTGTGGGGGTGGCGCAGGGCTGGAGCCATAGTACGCAGCCTGCGCTGGAGGCTGCATGGAAGAAGAGGACCTGGAATGAAGGGCTTTGCAGCAGGATAGGTGAGAAGCTACACCTCCTCAGTGACACTGTTGCAAGAACGCCACTGTCCCCTGTAGGGGACTGGTTAGTAAAGATCCCCAAAGCTGGAACGAAAGCTCCTTCCTCCCATCTCAGGATGTCTACTGGCCCCAAGATCTCAGATTTCAATCTCTCCTCCTCATCAGAGTTAGCCCCTGGATGAAAAAAGGTGACATCTTACTCCAACTTGTGGCTGCTTAAGCAACTGCTAAAAGGAGAAAATGTTCCCTTCCTGGTGGCCTTCACTGGCTTACATCTTTCTATTCCCTCTAAGTCCCATGAGGTCTTTTCCTAGCCATGCTCGTCAGGACACTAACGTCCAGGGCAGATGTTGACAGGCATCGGATTAAAAAATGACCACCGAAGTCAGGGAAATGCTATATACTCTATGCCATAATAGATATGGGCATATGAGGGTACAATAATGTATATAGTAAAGAAACTGAGGTTTTTTGTTGTTGAATGCAACATTTCCCAAACTTATTTTACCATCAGCAGTCTTTTTCAGCACAGTATTCAGGAAACTCTCGGACAGGGAGATGCTGTTTGACAGCAACACTACAGCCCTCTTCTGCAGATGGGGAAACTAAGAGCTCAGCAGTGAACCGGCCTGCCCGGTGAGTTGCCCAGCGAGTCACCTAGCGAGTCGCCCAGTGAGTCGCCCAGCGAGTGGCCCAGCGAGTGGCCCAGCGAGCGGGGAACCTCCATTTGCCTTGTAAAGCTCTAGTCTTCCTGCTCTACCTGCGGTCAGCGAGCGAATGTGCGGGGAGCTGGGGGCAGGCCGTCACCTGGGGCACCTGGGGCACGGCGGGCAGGAAGTAGGTGGTGGGCTGCTGGAAGGAGGACCCCAAGAAGGGGCTGCCCAGGGCCCGCATGGTGGACAGGCGCTGCATGTACTGGTTGGTCAAGATGGCCTTCCGCTCCTCCTTGCGCTGGGCCAGCGCCACGTATAGTGGCTTGGTGCCCACGATGCGCCCGTTCATCTCTGTCACAGCCTTTGTCGCCTCTTCTGGAGAGGAAAAACACACAAAGCCAAACCCCCTGCTGTGGCCACCCTCTGTCATCACCTAAAAGCAAGACAAAAAAAAAAAAGCTGCTGGGGGTGGGGAAGGAAGACTCCTGAAGCTGGGCTCCCCTCCCCCATGGGGCCCCGGCCCAGCGCTGAGAGCAGGCCCCGGGGAAGCCTGTGACGGAGGGATGGCCCGCCACCCGTGTTTACTGAGGCCTGGGCGGGCCAGATACTCGGCGTGCCTCCATACCCCACACGCACGGCCTCCTGAGACCAGCCGGACCGTGACCCCCACTTTATAGGTGAGTAAGGGAGATTCAAGAGAGTGACTTGCCCATGGTCACCCAGCCAGGGGCTCATACTGTCATGGAGGTAGAGGTCTTAAAAAGGGCAATGGAATGTTTTATGGGTTGTCTCTTTAACCCCTTCCATTCCCCCTTTTTGGGAATTAAAACGTGCATTCCTTCCCGAGGCCAGGAATCAAAGGAGTAGAAAAATGTTCTTTGCTGTTTGTTTTCTAGTATCTTAAACCACAGGGGATGGTTTAACAGAACTGTCTAAGGGTCATAAGATCATGGGAGATAAGGTCAACGGAATCCACCAATTATAGCTAAACAACAACAGCCCGAAGCCAGGACATATGACACCAGTCACAGTCATGGAGACCTGAGCCCTACTGTGGAAAACCCTCCTTTTAAAATGCTCTGTTTTTCTGCTTAGAGACAGGATGGTGGTCTCTGAGAGGCTAGTCTACCACCTTCCTCATTTGCAGGCAAATTAATAAACTTTTCTTTCCTTTTCCTCAAACCACTTGTCCTCATTTTTTGTTCTCACAGATTCAGCCTCAGGGACAAGTACTGAACTTTTGGTGACAATACATCAGCCAGGACTCAACCCAACAAGTGTTCTGGTAAACCTCTGCTTCCTCTGCAAGGTACCCAGCCAAGTTCTTCAGGTGTTTGGGGAAGAGGTTCTTGGCCTCTTTACTAAAATAACCTTTTTTTACTTTGGAATAACTTCAGATTTACAAAAAAGTTACAAAAACAGTACAGAGAGTTGCTAGATATCTTTCATCCAACTTCTCTTAATGTTAACACGGTACATTTGTCAAAACTACAACATTAACACTGGTGCAATGCTGTTTATTATAGTATTAGCTCCTATTGACTACAGTGCTATTAACTGAACTGCAGACTTCACTGGGATTTCACTTTTTTCCACTAATATTCTTTTTCTCCTCCAGGACCCAATCCACATTGCATTTAGGGTTGTTAACCTTTTTTAGGGTCAAGACACTGGCCTGGCTTACTCACTCTGAAGGACTAGAGGTATCTTTAAAACCTGCCCTGTTAGAGCTCATACTGTAAATCAGTGATTTTGTGACCGCATCCTGCTAGCTTAGGAGGGAGGTCTTAACCTGATAGTCCATGGATGCCTCTCAGGGAGGTCATGAATATAGTTCAGGGGGTCTGTGAACTTGGAAGGGGAATAAGTGACATCTTTATTTTCAAATTAGCATGTCTTCCTATTATGAATATGGGCAAAAAAAAATCATAAGTAGTAGTAGTTGTACCTGTGACTTTATCATGAAAAAGATATCAAATATTGTCATATTAACTTATTACTAATCTCAAAAATATTTATGCTAATTGCTATTTTGCTAGATCTTAAGGTTTACTATGTTAATAAAGAAGCACATATGGCTTTAGTATTCTGATCACTATATTTCAATATAATTGCTTTTATAATCCCATGAATTTTATTTTATGCATTTAAAAATATTCTTAGAAGGGGTTCATGGGCTTTACTAGATAGCCAAAGGAGTCCTAACACAGAATCATTGTTAAGAACTTTTTTTTATTGGAGACAGTGTCTCACTCTGTTGCCTGGGCTAGAGAGGCTCACAGCAACCTCCATATCCTGGGCTCAAGGGATCCTCCTGGCTCAGCCTCCCGAGTTGCTGGGACTACAGGCACACACCACCACGCTTGGCTAATTTTCTCTGTTTTTAGTAGAAACAGAGTCTTGCTCTTGCTCAGGCTGGTCTCTAACTCCTGACCTCAAGTGATCCTCCTGCCTCGGCCTCCCAGAGTGCTAGGATTACAGGTGTAAGCCACTGCACCCAGCCTGTTGGGAACTTCTGTTAGTAGGTAGTTAATAATAAAATTAGTAAAGCTAACATTTATGCAGAGCTTACTATGAATTTGGTAGTGGTGTATTTATATACATTAGCTCATTTAATTTTTATAATCACTATTTTATATAAAACAGAAAATATGTAAATTTTATGGATAAAAAATATTTTAAAATCCCTATTTTATAAACTGGCCTATTAAACAGCCTCTTTAATTGTTCTCAGGACATCTCTAGAGGTGGCTAATGTCACTGCTATTTTACAGGAGGATAAACACTTGCCTCAGGCTCTGCGCTATGTAATGGTAGGACTGGGATGTACATCTGGGTCTGATGAACTTTAAAATCCCAGCTTTCAACCATATTGCCATACAAGTGTGTACGCATGTTCTGGGCAAAAGGCCCGCAGGTTTTTATAGTGTTTAATCAAATTTACTGATGCCTAATATACATGTCTCACAGCTTTCTGTCACATTTTTCAAAAAGACCTAAACCCAAAAAGCCTTAGAACATTTATTTCCCACCCTGCCCCAAACACCAGGTTCCCTGAAGGATACTTAAAATTGGACTCAACAGGCAAAAGAATTCCTAGACCACTTCCTTAGAGCCCAATCATCTTGTCACGCTCAAGGGTCCCCAGCCCCACGGCCCACACTAATCTCTTTGGAAAGTTCCTCATTCCTACCCGCAGCTCCCTGCCTGCTCACAGTCAAGTCAAATGCTGCTGCTACTGCTGCCACTTCTTCCAGGAAGTCCTCCCTCCTGCCCTACTGAGTTCCTGCAGCTCCGCCTCTCTGGCTTATAAAATACAAAAGGTAGTGATGAGTCTGACTTCTTCCCTAGACTATCAGCTACTCAAAGGCAGGGACCACATCTGATTTGTTCCCATGTTTCCCACAGAGCCTGGTAAGACAGCAGGTGCTTCAATACAGAATGAACAAACATTGAGTCATCTCAAAATCAACTGGGATCTTATAAAAACAAAAGGTCCAAGCCCTACCCCTAGAGATCTACTTTCAACGCCTGCCCCAGGCATCTACTTAAGAACTGGCCAGGGGAGTCAAAGGAGAAGCCAAGGCCTAGGACCACCCAGGGTGCCCAATACCCCCATCCTATGGATGAGGCTCAGGAGTTAAGACACCTGCTCAAGGTCACAGAGCTACTGAGTAGATGGGCCAATTGTCACACCTCAGGTGCCTAACAGGGCTGGGCACACAGTAGGTGCTCAATAAATGGAGAACAATGAATGAAGAGTGATACAGCCCAACCCTTTCGTTTTCTAGATGGGAAATCTGAGGCCCAGAAGGGCAGACAACAATAGTCAATGGAGACCTGGATTTCTGGAATCTGGCATACCGTGGGCACTCAATAAATGCTTGTAGACTGAACCAAGATTACAGTGAACCCCAACAAGTCTAGCTGTGTGACTGGGACTGTATTTCTAGCCTCTCCCTTCCAGGCCAGGCAAGGCTGCAGGTGGACCGCAAGCTCCTATGGGGTCGGAGGCCCCAAAGGGGCAGCTCAGCACAAACTCCCAGGAAGCCGTGCAGTAAGAAGATGGTGGGTGCAGAGGGTGGTGAGAGGGAAGGCTGTTCCTCTGGAGATGTCCCCAGCCCTCACCTTCGCACTGGTAATCACTCCATAGGGAGAGAACTCTTTCCTCAGTTTCTCATCATCGATGGAGTCATCCAGGTTCTTCACGTACAGGTTCACGCCCTGGAAGGAAAGGACACTGCTAGATGTGGCCCTCCTGCCAAGCCCCTGAGGAGAGCAGGGGGACCAAGTGGCACTGGGAGTCCTGCTAGCCCAGCCTTCCGCTCCCATTTCCCACAGCACCTGTGTACCCCTGTCACTCACCCGCCCATTACCAGGCAGCCGCAGCCCCCACCATCCCTAAGTCCCCCGCCGTCCTCATACACCTGCACTGGTCCCAGCCCCTCCCCTTTTCATAGAGGGGACCCTGAGGCACAGGGCCAGCCCCGAGATAGCTTTCCAGACTGCCGGCATGGAGCAGCAGGAGGCAGAGCTCCTCGCGGGCTGGGCCCCGGGCCAGACCCCAAGTACAGGTGACAGCTGCCCCCCACGCCTACCAGCTGAGGAACCCCAGACACAGCACCCATGCTGGTGCCAGGCGCCACTCTAAGCTCTTTCACACATTTTAATTTTGAATCTTCACCACAACCCTGCAAGGAGGAAATGTTTATGCCCGCTTTACAGATGACAAAACAGAAGCAAGGACAGGACAGGACCCATGCAGTCTCACTTCAGTCTGTGCTCCTCACTCTTGAATGACAGCTGTCTCCGCTGACTTCCTCCTTCCAGACCTCCCAAGCACAGAGGCGTGTGAACCACAGTGGAATGGAGACCACACAGTTACACAGTGTAACATCCGCCTCTCACAGATTAGATTACGTGATGAGTATTTTGTGCTGGAAGTCTATAAACCCCTGAAAATGTACATGCACAACTGGGGGCGGGGTGTGCAACGAGGTTCTCAACCTCAGCACCAGTGACACTTGGTACCCAGTAGGTCTTTGCTGTGGGATTGCCCTGTGCACTGTAGGGTGTTGGCAGCACCCCTGGCCTCCACCCAGCAGATGCCAGTGGCACCCTGTCACCCAAGTACGACCACCGAAAATCCCAGATGGTGCCAAATTTCCCCCTGGGGACAAAACTGCCCCTCATTAAGAACCCTGTGTGTGTGTGTGTGTGTGTGTGAGACTCTGTATATTTATACCCTTCTGCAGAAGGAATCTATAACTTTTTAATTTAAAATTTTAACATTATTTTAATTTTTCTTTATTTAATGTTTTTAATTGTTTTTCTATCCCATTAGTGATTAGGTTTCAACATAGGATCTAGAACTTTTACTAAAAGTTTTAGAGGTGTTCATTTTCCAGAGAGGTTCAGATTGTACTAATCTATGATATATATTTTAATTAACTGTATTAACTTAATTTTAATGGCTGCACGACATTCCAACTCTTTTTTTTTTTTTTTTGAGACAGAGTCTCACTTTTGTTGCCCAGGCTAGAGTGAGTGCCGTGGCGTCAGCCTAGCTCACAGCAACCTCAAACTCCTGGGCTCAAGCGATCCTTCTGTCTCAGCCTCCCAAGTAGCTGGGACTACAGGCATGTGCCACCATGCCCGGCTAATTTTTTCTATATATATTAGTTGGCCAATTAATTTCTTTCTATTTATAGTAGAGACGGGGTCTCGCTCTTGCTCAGGCTGGTTTCGAACTCCTGACCTCGAGCAATCCGCCCGCCTCGGCCTCCCAGAGAGCTAGGATTACAGGCGTGAGCCACCGCGCCCGGCCACCTAACTTTTGAATGTAACATATTTGGCCTAATTATTTCAGCCAGGCATAAGACTTCCTCTAGGGGCATTTGGCAATACTTAGGGCACTTCGGTTGTCCAGGACTGGAGGAGGAAGCTGGCATTGAGCAGGCAGGGGTTAGAGATGCTGACTGATCCCATGTGAAGGATTATGCCAACCAAAAGGTCACAGCACCCCAACTAACCCCCTGTGGCTGGGCCGGTGGGGTGTGTCCAGTCTCTCCACTGTTATGAATCAGGCCGTGGAGACCATCCCACGCTCATCTGATCCCTACCCTGAGCCATGTACTCAGAAGTAGGGTCACTAGAGAATGGACTCACATTCGGGGACCCCTTCCCCACACACAGTCGCTCTCAGCCACTGCCACCAGGAGGCCTGACCTCACCTGGTAACGTTTCAGGCGGTCCTGCTTCATCTGCTCGAACCTGCGCTTCAGCTCCTTCTGCCGCTCCACCCGCTTCTGGGCCCGGCCCACGTACAGCAGCTGCCCGCTCACCTCCTTCCCGTTCATGTGCACCACAGCCTGTGGGACAAGGAGGGACAGCTGCCTGGTAACCACCTGGCCGTGGCCCTGGCCCTCACCCTGGCCTAGAGAAGCCACCTGGAAACCAGGCCATCCATGCCAACTGAGAGTAATTAGCACCAGGATACAGGCCATTTAAAGTACATCCACTTTTTAAAAATATGAAAATATATAGAAAAACAACTTAGTCGGGCATGGTGCCACATGCCTGTAGTCCCAGCTACTCAGGAGGCTGAGGCAGGAGGATCGCTTGAGCCCAAAAGTACAAGGTTACAGTGAGCTATCATGACACCACTGCATGCTAGCCTGGGTAATAGAGTGAGACCCTGTCTCAAAAAATAAATAAAATAGTGGCTATATGTCATTTGGGAGGGCTTTAATTCATTCTTTTAGAAACATTCGTGTCTTAACCCCTATTGATTTTTCTTTTCTTCAGTTAACTGGCCTAAGCCTGCTAGATCCTAAGTGGCACTGCATAAAATCCTGCATCTTCTGCAGGATGTGCAACTTCTCTCTGCAATCCATTTACACTGGACTGACCTTTCATTGACTAATTTGCAAAAATCATCAGAAGTCAGACTCGAGTATATATATTGACTCAATGGTTAGGATCAGACACTGGTGTTAGGAGAAATGTTGGAAGGGGAATTGATTTTTCTTTTCTTCTTTTTTCTTTTTTTTTTGAGACAGAGTCTCACTTTGTTGCCCAGGCTAGAGTGAGTGCCGTGGCGTCAGCCTAGCTCACAGCAACCTCAAACTCCTGGGCTCAAGCGATCCTCCTGCCTCAGCCTCCCAAGTAGCTGGGACTACAGGCATGTGCCACCATGCCTGGCTAATTTTTTCTATATATTTTTAGTTGGCCAATTAATTTCTTTCTATTTACAGTAGAGACAGGGTCTCACTCTTGCTCAGGCTGGTTTCGAACTCCTGACCTCGAGCGATCCACCCGCCTCGGCCTCCCAGAGTGCTAGGATTACAGGTGTGAGCCACCGGGCCCAGCCAGGAACTGATTTTTCAAGTGGTCAGTTCCCTAACAAATATCTTTACATAAAATGACGACTTTTGCTTCCCAGCTAAATATTCAGTTGTGTGGACTTCAGGTCTTAGAAGCAACCAAAGAAGGACGAAGCCTTTGGCCTTGGCACGGCAGGCAGGAAGGGCCCAGCCTCCTGCCCAGGCTGGGGAGAGCCCGCAGCTGATCTCCCTTCGTCCCGGTCCTGGCTCGGTGCCCCCTCCCCGGAACAGAGCTGAGGGGAGGCTCCTACCTTCTGGGCTTCCTCATGCTTCTCAAAGTTGACAAAGCCAAAGCCGCGGGAGTGGCCACCGTTGTCCCTCATCACCTTCACACTCAGCGTCTTTCCTGGGGAGGACCAACCTCGCTCAAAGCTGAGCTGGGGAAACCCCAAGATGTCCCCTCCCTTACCACCAGTCCTCAGGGAGCCCCAGCAGAGTCCCCCCTCCTGCCAGACCTGGAGGAGTAGAGGAGAAACAGTGACCCCCTCCTCCCTTGGGAACACGCCCACCAAACTGGGAGAAGAGCTCCTGCAGGCCGTGCTCATCCACATCCGCTTTGAGGTTCTTCACATAGATGTTCGTGAACTCCATGGCCCGGGCCCCCAGCTCCACCTCCCGCTCCCGTCGGGACTTGAAGTCGCCAACAAAACTGTGGACACAACAGGGTGGGCAGCTGTAGCCATTAGCCACCCCCGTTCCCAACCCAGGCCCAGTTGCTGCCCTTCTCCAAGGCCTCCACGTGCCATCAGGAGGCTGGGCGGGCAGCACTCCTTAGGGTATACCCAAGGCCCAGCCACCTCCAACAGCCAGGATGCGACGTCCCAGAGCTTGTCCCCAGCATGAGGCTAAACCTTCTTTCTTGTGACAAATGAACTACTATATACTAGGCAGGAGAGAGTACAGGAGATAAGAGCATGAACTTGACAGTCAGACAGATAAGGGATTGGACCCTTGCTCTGCAACTGCCTAGCTGTGTGACCCTGGGTAAGTTATTTAACCTCTCTGAGCCTCAGTGTTCATTCCTGTAAAACTGGGGATCAAATCCATGTCACCGGGCTTTGCTTACTTATTTAACGTGTACAGGGTGTACTGGAGAAGCAGGGGAAAGCAAATTAGACACGGTCAATGCCAGTGCCACCACGGGGGGAGGTGGGGAATGGGGTGAAACCACTTAAATACAACATTAATTTTAAAAGCTGTAATTTCCAAGTTCAGCTAAACACATCTAGGAAAATATCCTAGATGAAGAAAACAAAAACAAGCATAAAAAATTCTGGTGGTATCTATAGCACATTTAGCACTAACAAGTGGCAGCAGGCAGCAAAAACTGAAGAAGACTGAGTGGCGAAGGTAAACTTGAATAAATTATAGCCAAACATAGGCATCTTTCTGAGAACTGGGAAAGCCCACCAGATTAGCCGGGCAGGTGGGCAGGCCCCTCCCCTCAGAAACCCTGAACACAAATGACTCAGTGCCTCTCCCAGCTCAAAGCCACCTTCACTCCCAAGCCCTGACCACGGGGCTGGGCAGAATCAAAATGTGGGGAGGGGAACAGCCGGTGGCAGATTCTCTCTGGCATCCATATCTCAGTGTTCCCATCTGTGAAGTGGGGGTGATATCAAGCTTAACTGTAGGAAGAGGGCAGGCTAAGCATACGCCTACTTTTCTTTCCACCCCCAAATCTCATGAAACACCATAAGAGGTTTAAGAAATAAAATCCACAGCCATACCGAGAAGGCTGGAAGACAGATGAAATCACTGAGTTGATGAATGACATGGCCATTAAGCTGTTCCCTCCAGAATTTCAAAATCACCACTCTCTTTACTACTCAGAACAAGTCTCTACGCATATCCTCAGCTCCATTTTTATGTGCGGGAAGAGAGTCCCTGAGAAATCAAGCAACTTGTCTGAGGTCACAGCTTTGAGGAAGACTGGCTGCTGCGCCAGGCCTCTGTCCCCACGGCCTGGGCCCCGCGCGGGGCCAGCACTCACACTTTGCGGTCGTTCAGCAGCATCCCGTTCATGGTGCTGATGGCGTTCTGTGCGGCTTCTTGGGTCTCAAAATGAACAAAGCCGAAACCCCGGGAGCCATGCTCGTCACACGCCACCTGGGCCACGGGGAGGGAGGACAGGGAAAGCATGGACAGAGGGCTCAGGAAGAAAAGCATGGCAAGGTGACGATGACCAGCACCTGCATGCTTGCTGTGTGGACAGTCCTACACCACACACTGGCCCCACGTTACAGATGGGAAACTAAAGCTCAGAGAGAGCCACCCACTTGCCTAAGACAACAGACTAAGCAGGAAGAATGTCCTCAGATGAACATAGGTTTCATCTAAACCACAGGTCAGCTTTTAATTGTCTCCTTAAGGTGATGGGCAAAAGGATGAGATTCAACCCCCTACACTTGCATCCTTGTTTCTAATAGCAAAGTAGAAGCCACCTGAGTGTCCATCAAGGGGAAACCAGTTAAAAAGATTACAATACGTTCGTACTGGCCTACCGTGCGTGCACAGTTGAAGAGAATGTGGTATAGGACATGGCTGATAGCTATCTGCCGGTTACATTGTTAAGTGAATTAAAAAGTCCTTTTGGGTTAAAGTGAGCATGCATACATTGAAAGCTTTGAAACAGACACACCCAAAACTGTTAATAAGGATTATTTCTGGGGACCAGGGCTGGAAGACAGAGAGCCTTGTTTTGCACTTTCTTCCCGTCCACATTGTTTAAACTTTACCAATTCATGTATTATTTCAACAATAGACTTGTTTCAATTTTTAAAAAGATGCACAAACATCCTGTTCCCATTCCATAACCCTCCCGACTCAAGTTAGTACAGAGGGACAGAGTTTAAGAACAGGGAAAGGGCCCGGTGCGGTGGCTCACTCCTGTAATCCTAGCACTCTGGGAGGCCATGGCGGGGGGATTGCTCAAGGTCAGGAGTTCAAAACCAGCCTGAGCAAAAGCGAGACCCCGTCTCTACTATAAATAGAAAGAAATTAATTGGCCAACTCATATATATAGAAAAAACGAGCCGGGCGTGGTGGTGCATGCCTGTAGTTCCAGCTACTCGGGAGGCTGAGACAGAAGGATTGTTTGAGCCCAGGAGTTTGAGGTTGCTGTGAGCTAGGCTGACGTCACGGCACTCACTCTAGCCTGGGCAGAGTGAGACTCTGTCTCAAAACAAAACAAAACAAAACAAAAAAAACAGGGAAAAACCTTCTAGTTCACATAGTTCCCATCCCTCTTGTTGAGCGTGCAGAAAGACCCCTGACCCCGTTTCAAGGGCACCGTGGCCCCATTCCTCCCTGCAGCCACGGCCTCAGCTCAGCTACATGGCATTTTCTGCATAGGTGACCACCCCACCTCCCATCCCAGCTGTGCACTGACCACTGGGATGCTCTTTCTAAAATGTAATTCTGACCATGTCCCTTTACTCTCTAGTAGCTTCCATCCACAGAACTATATATCAACTTGGCATTTGAGGCTCTCCAGTGGGCCCTGCACAGGTACTGCTTCCAAATCCATGCCTCACCTGCACCCCTCTACCTCTCCAGCCCCAGACAGGGTCCTTCCACTGTCAGCCCAAGCCCTAGCTCTTCCATTCAGACCTAATCATGTTGACTGAGCCAAGCACCTGCTAAGAGCATTGCACACTTACCTTGTTACATTTGCCATGAGAACTCTTCCAAGCAATTCTTAACCTCTGAGTCCCAGGGGAGAAAATGTCAATAAGTGACTTGTCCAAGATCAGCCAGCAGAAGCAATTTCTTAATTATTATAGTTATCACTTAGATGCTTAATGTGTTAGGTCCCTTTGAAGGACTACACAAGTGTGGAAAAAAACCTAACACATAGAAAGTACTTGATCAATCTGCCACTACTTTTGTAGGAACTTACCACACAATTAAGAATCTCTGTCTTCTCTTGATTCTCAAAGATAGGGAGCAGCCCTGTCTCTCTGCCACAGAGAATTATTAGCACATTACTGCACTTTTTAAGTCTGCTCCTCTGAGCCACAGAGATAGCCCCTTATTCACGGGGAGGTTGTGAGTCCTATTTAAGAACTTAAGGATTGTGCCTGGCATAAAAGTAGCCCTCAATAAAAGTTCTAACATAGTGGTCACCAAAATTCCCCCTGTGCTCTCCAGACAGGGCATACACCCCAAAGGATAGAGGGTAACCATCCTCATAAAATCTAGAAACAGCTCTTCGTGTTTGCGGCCATCGCCGGAGTGGCAGTGGCCAAAATGAAGTTCAATCCCTTTGTGACTTCCGACCGAAGCAAGAACCGGAAAAGGCATTTCAATGCACCTTCCCATGTTCGCAGGAAGATTATGTCTTCCCCTCTTTCCAAAGAGCTGAGACAGAAATACAATGTTCGATCCATGCCCATCCGAAAGGATGATGAAGTTCAGGTGGTTCGGGGACACTATAAGGGTCAGCAAATTGGCAAAGTAGCCCAGGTTTACAGGAAGAAATATGTTGTCTATATTGAACAGGTGCAGCGGGAAAAGGCCAATGGCACAACTGTCCACGTGGGCATTCACCCCAGCAAGGTGGTTATTACTAGGCTTAAACTGGACAAAGACCACAAAAAGATCCTTGAGCGGAAAGCGAAATCTCGCCAAGTAGGAAAGGAAAAGGGCAAGTACAAGGAAGAAACACTTGAGAAGATGCAAGAATAAAATAATCTTATGTACAACCTTCATTAAAAACTGCTAAAAAGAAAAAAAAAATCTAGAGGCAGAACATCCAGGTTTAAGACCTCTGGTCAAAGCACAGACCTACTACTGGATGGCCTTAGACCCTCAACATCCTCAAAGTCAAAGAAATAATCAGAGCCCTTTTCAAATGATGATACTCAAATATTTATGAAGCACCTAATATGTGTCACATCTTATTCTAAGTACTGAGATACAACAGCAACTAAGAACAGGATCGCTACTCTCTCGTGGAACTTATATTCTAGTATAAGAGAAATCTTAGAAATAAGACGTGGTCCATGGATTGCTGTGGTGGCCCCAAGGTATGGTCTTCCTTGAGCCATGCCCTTCATCCTATCATTTCTACTGGCCTCTCATTCTGAATGTGGGCAGGCCTGTGACTCGCTTCGGCCAATCCAATGCAGTGTTAGTGACAGTGTTCCAGTTCTGAGTTTAGGTCTCAAGAGGCATGGGGAGCTTCCCCTCTGTCTTCTGGGACCCGGCCTTTGCCATGAGAAGGGCCTAGGTGAGCCTGCCGGAGGATGAAAAACCACAGGGAGGAAAGCCAAGATGTTCCATCTGACAGCCAGCCGCTCCCTCCCATGCCCAGCGAGAGCTCCCATCCAGCTTTTGGCGGGCGTAAGAGGGAGCCCAGCCAAGACCAGAAGAAATGTCCAGCTGATCTCAGTCCAAATTGCCAACTGCAGCATTGTGAGCTAACCACGTGGTTGTTGTTGATAGCCACTAAGTTTGGGGTGGCCACAGAGCAAGAGCTGACCCACACAACACATAGCCTCTGAGAGATAGTTCATGGAAGATCAGACTGAAAGAACAGCTACCATTCAAGTGCTTGCTATGCCTGCAGCTTTACTGAAAGGCCCTTGTAAACTGTAAAGTGAGGTGTTACTTGGCATCCCTCTACGAGACAGGCAGTTGACACTGATTCCCCCAAAGAGGCACACCCACCTTGCAAGAGAGGATGTTCCCAAAGGTGGAGAAGGTGTCATATAAAGCCTTGCTGTCAATGGAGTCCTCCAGGTTCTTGATGAAGATGTTGCCCACACCTGACTTGCGAAGTCCCGGGTCTCGCTGGGACCACATCATGCGGATGGGCTGGCCTTTGAGCATCTCAAAGTTCATCGTGTCCAGTGCCCGCTCCGCTGGACAGGAGGAGGAGAGGAAGGAGCAAGTTAAGGGGATTTTTTTTTTACCCTAAGGTGCTTAATTAGGAGGAGGGGGCGGGCGGGAAAGGAAGTCATTGTCTGAGTCCCACCTGAGATAAGAGCCTGAAGGCTCAGGAGGCAGGAGGTGAGAGAATGAGTGTGCACGGTGCTCCGCCCACCTTCTAGCTGTGATCTCATTCAACTCCTCACTGTAGCCATACGAGCATGGATTCCCATGCCCATTTTACAGATGCGAAAATTGAGACTCGGGTGAAAAGTCAGTAGCCGAGGCAAATTTATTCTAGCCCCGAAAGCACACTGAGTAGATAAGAATGTCCCTACAACCAGGGATGACAGCAGTTTGAGGAAATTTAAGCTCAGAGGTGCTGAAGAGCAGAGTTGAGATTCAATCCCAAGCAGTCTGGCTGTGGGGGAAGTGAACATCACCTCTCTGAGCCTGTTCCTTTCCTATAAAGTGGGGATGATGATAATGTTGCCTATTTTTCCACACCTAACACAGAGAGATATACCACCTACCTCTGGGTTGTCAGACAGATTGAAAGCTAAATGAGGCATGCAAGGGACCTCGTTTGTACTTTGTGCCTGACACAAAACAGGTGTTCAGTAAACAGTTGTGCTGAAAACGGCAGCCTATGCCCATCCTTCTGCAACCCCTATGGCCTATTCCCTCGCGGGTAATGTGCACCCCTGCTTTAGGGACTCTGCTAGTCTCAAAGGCACGGAGGGGCTGCGGGGAACACACGGAGCAAGTTTCAGGAAGCCTGGGTTCTCCATCGGGTCCTCCCATAAACACCCAGGGGCAAAGCCCTTCTCTCTGCAGCTTAGTTTTCCCATCATGAAGTGGGGCAAAAAGGTCAGGTCCTGCTTCACTTGCAGGGCTGGAAGATGGGAAGAGGCAGGAGGTGGGGCAAGGGGAAGGCACCCTGGAATCCAGCTCAGTCACCTATGGGGAAAGGGCTCTGCAGAAAAACCTGTCCCCTAGCAAACCCCCAGCCCAGGGAACCTCCCTATCCACCCAGGAGACCTGGAGTAAGGGTGCCCTCTTTGGACTTGGCTGGGGCAGGCCTTTTTGGTTAGGTTTCTGGAGTCTTATACCAGAAGCTTACAGCTACTATTGTTTTTCTTAGGTGATCACTTAAAGGCACCTACAGTGTACCACATAGAACAGGAGTACTTCCTAGTCATCAGTTCTCCATTCTTTATGTTACTGGGGAATAAGTCTTAGCCCCAGCAAAACCTGCTGTTCTAATCTTTAAGTCTCTCCACTCTCAACAGAAGTGCAGACATACTCAGCTGACTAGCTCTAATCAATCCTATCAGCTGTGAGAAAATGAGGGCGGCCACTTTTCAGGGCACAGAGGTGGAGGCACCAGGTGTGGGTCTCATGTCACCCTGCCCAGGGAGACCCAGGCCCAGCTCTCTTGGCTTCTCACCAGGTGCTTCGAATCTCTTATCCTCACAAACACTCTATAAGGCAGGCAAGACGCCCATTTTCCAGACAGGCATCTGAAGCTCAGAATGGTTGCATAACTCGCCCAAACACAGCTGCTATGTTTCTATCCCAGGCCTGCCCAGCCCGAAAGCCCTTCGCTGTTTTCACTCGGCCTTAATCTCTCTCCTCTGTGAAGTGGAGCAATACCAGCAAGCTGCACAGCAATGGCCAATTCCCATCCCAGAGACCGGCCCCTGCCAACGCCCTGAATCTTTGGGCCTCAGTTTCCCTGGCTGTGAAATGTTAGATGAAAGCGCGGGCGGCCTTGTCCCGGGTGCTGTCCCGCTTGTCTCTCTGCTTGCTGTCAGTCTGTCCGTCGTCGGTCGTCCCGTCCAGCTCCCGCTCCCCCGGGGCTCACCGTCGGCGGGCTGCTGGAAGTTGATGTAGGCGTACCCCAGCGAGCGCCGGGTGGCCATGTCGCGGCACACGCGGATGGACAGGATGGGGCCTGCAGGCGAGAACTTCTCATAGAGCATGGCCTCGGTCACGTCGGGGTGCAGATCGCCCACGTAGAGCGAGGCGAGGGGGTAGCCCGAGCTGCTGGCGTTCATGGTGGGCAAGGGGCTGGGGACTGCTGGGGGAAACGAGGGGCCGGGTCACCGAGCGGCCCGCGCTCACCCAGGCCGGAGCCTCGGAAGCTGCGGGCGCACAGGACAGCTCCGGGGCTCTCGCTCCCCAGCGTCGGTCGGCCCCTTCCCTTTACCGCGCACTCGGCCCAGCGCGCCAATTGTGGGCGCGCTCGGGGGCCCCGCCCCGGGACCCTTCCTGAGCCTACACCCCACCTGGGCCCAAAGTGATCTAGAAGCCACAGGTGGGGGCATCTCTGACCCCGCCCTGAGAGGCGGAGAAAAGCCCTTGATTTGGCCTAGAGTAGGGCTGCAGAGAAGTGGGTGGAGCTGAGAACTCCCAGCAGTGGGACCGCAAATTGGGTTCTAATTCCAGAGTAGGTCATTGCCTTTCTGGACTCATTTACTCTTTTGGTAAAATGGAAACGACTACCTCTCAGCAAGGATTAAAAGAGACCTTGCTTTTTGTGCATTTCACATACAAATGGGAGAACTCCGAACCGGACGCCCTGTTTCAAAGTTTGTGTTGAGATTTTTTTCCGAAAAACCCTGATCCAGTCCAACTCTTCTGCACGAAGATGGAAATGGATTTGTGACTTGGGACAGACGGCTCCATGAGAATTCAAGACCACTGAAGCCTTCCTTGACACTGGCTCTTACAAATTGGCAAGACCTGTCAATTGACTAAGCTATTCCACCAGAAAGGTTCATGGAGTTCCTTGTGACCCAGCCTATATGGGAGCAGTAGGGACCTAACAGCAGCACAGACCCAGGTGACCCCAAACTGAGCATCAAGACTGTCAATTTGAGCTTGCAGCCTCAATCTATCTGTGGCATAGGGTCATTAAAAACCCAAAACCAAAAAACCTAATCCACTGTGGATCAATACTACACTTTGCCTTTTGTAGGGACTCTCGTGGTTTCCCTGGTGCAAGAAGCAGGTGGGCTACCACTGGCTGGACATGGCTTTGACAGGTGGAACAGCTCCCAAACCAGGCAGGAGCTGGTCTGAACGTCCAGCCACACAGCAAGGAAGCACCAACCAACTATAATTTGGGGTTCAAAAAAGACCCTTATCCTCACTTTTTTTCCTCTCCTTATGGTAGTGTTTCAGAAGAAGTTTTCAGAAGAGGGTAAATCTCATGACCAAACATTGCTGCAGGCTGTCAGAAAGTGTTAGGGCGGATGACAGAGATCACTATAACCATCACTGGCTTGGTTATATCTCAAGGTTAAAAAATGAGGGAGGCTTGAATACAAGGTAAAATAACTGTCCACACCAAATCTTAGAAGCCACAAGAGACGACCTAACACCTGGATGGTTTGTTGCAGAAGGTGTACAGGCATCAAGTGATGGATGGAACGTAGCTATCTAATTAATGATAATGTCTTCCCCTTCCCGCACCTTGACCTCTGTTTGTAAAGGATGAAATAAAGTTGTTTGCCTATTGTTAAAGAGAGAGCCAAAAATAAGTGTGATCAGAATAGTGAGAGATGGTGGTGACACATCAATTCACAGGCAACTAACTGATAAAATTTTTTATTTCACTTTTGAATTTTTACACTTTTCCTGATTATTCCGTGTAAGGTGAAACTAGAACTGTTTAAAAGACATACACAAATCTAGTACATCAATAACCGGGGAATTTTCTTTTTTGCTATACTATTTTCACAACCACGGGTGTGCTTGCTAGGCAATATAACCATCACAGAAGCAAACGTTAGGCAGAATACTGGTAAGGAAAAACAAAGCAAGAAAGAGCTACCAGATATACAGACAGGCTTGGTTCCACATTCATGACTGCATTTTCAAGCGCCAAGTATTAACTGCACATTTTTGTTCAGCTAGAAAGGAGAGGGTGATTTTTTTTTGTTTGTTTTTTCTTTTTTTGGTTTGTTTTAAATCAGTGCATGAATTTTTGTCTCATTTCAGCAGATGGACAAAGAGATGGATTCTACAGCTACGTGGAATGTTAAAGGTAGAGGGGTGATACTGTGAGACTGACAGGCCTGTCCACGCTCGATTCTCTCCACTGCAGTGTCCATGCGACTTCCCTGCATTATAGGGTCTTGTTTAAACTCGTCTGAGAACTGAGCTGGATGAGCACACTTGGGAGATCTGGTGACAGGTACTAACAGGCATTATCAGGGTCAGGGCAGGCTGCAATCAAGGGAGAAATCATGGAAATTTAAAAATGCTTTCTTGATTGAGATCTTGGTATCACTGAAGACCAACAACCGTGTTGAGAACTGGAGGAAGACAGAACTACGGTGCCCGAAGCTCTTCTCTTTAAAGCAAGGCTTGCTCATCAATGTCTCTAACCCCTGCCCATATACAGTATTAAAAAGTGAACAAAAGATAAAGATAGAATTCAAAAAGAAAAAAAAGTAATGAAATAGAAGGACAGAAATTTAAAGAGAGAAGAGAAAACCAAAGTTAACAGTCTAATAGGACAATGAAAAAGAATGTTTAGATTTCAAAATTTAAAAGCCTGGAGCTAGGAAGAAGCCAAAGACTGAGTACTCCTCAAGTGAAAGGCGATCTCTACAGAACATTATTATTTTTTTCTTTTTTTTTTTTTAGAGACGAGACCTCTTGCTGTATTTCCCAGGCTGGTGTGCAGTGGCTATTCACAAGTGCAATCGTAGCATACTACAGCCTCATACTTCTGGGCTCAAATGATCCTCCTTGCCTCAACCTCCTGAGTAGCTGGGACTACAGGTGCATGCCACTGCGCCTGTCTCAGAACATGATTCTTAAAGTATTATCCAGAAAACAGATAAGGCCATTCATAAAATACACGGCTTTTTTTTCCTTCTTTAGCTCAGTGTTAACAATGAAAACAGATTTCACTACTGAAGCACAAGCTGCAAATTGGTAACATATTGCTGTAGGAAAGGGGGTTCAGTCAGGTGTGTTATAGGAGCACTAAAACTTTTCAAGGTGTCATAAGCCAGTTATCTGCTACAAAGAATTCCAATTTCAGGCTTCGAGTTTCCTCAGAGGAAGACACTGTGGACATCTGTGGTCATGAACTTTAGAGTGGCAATAGCCCAGAACTGTAAAGTGTCTATAACCCCCGAACTACAGGCAGAATTACTGTGAATTAGCATTAAACTCCAATGCCAAATGATAGGTGTCTCAATCCGAGTCCCAGCCTCACAATATAATCTCTATAACTTTCTGTACAACTTTACAATGGAATTGTATTTCAGTGACTATTTTGATATCAGATTAAACTTTCCAAAATGTTATACATAATTCAGATCTATTTTTTCTACCAGTAAGAGTTCTGCTAAATTACAAAACCCCATTATCACAGTGTTCAGTTTAAAAAAAATTAAACACACAGTAATCCTGTCAATGTTAATCAAAATCAAAACTTCAGAATGCCGTGGCATTTATATGACCAATCTGAGTTTTAGATACAAATACCGGCTGTTTATCCCATGAACCATTTTTGATAGGCTGAGGCTGTGAAAAATTGAAAGTTGACGTACGATTTTTTTTTTTTATCGCACAAAGGGATATATGTGGAAGGTACAAAGTGTCACCGAACAGATCACCTAGCACAACAGACATTAGTTCTCTCCCTCCCCAGCATCTCCTTCATCTCCCTGGTTTTCCGATGTCCACAGCTGTAAAAGAAAGAAAAAAGAAGCTATAATCAAAGTAGGGCTACTAAAACTTACCCAGGGAGAATGTATTGTTCAACTGTTCAAAATTCTTCCTGTAGTACTGCAGACGGTGATGACTGCAAATGTCAAAACTTTTGCAGTCATTTATGACCAATTTAACAATTTAAAACCTTAACTATATTTAACAGAATACAAATCCTCTATTGAATTTTGGGTAACAGTGAATTATTATGTGAGTGAGTAGGAAAAAGACTGGAAACCCTCTAGACGTGGTACTTACAGTGAGATTATCCCTAAGCAACTGCATGATCAGGGTGCTGTCTTTATAAGACTCTTCATTCAGTGTATCCAATTCGGCAATCGCTTCATCAAATGCCTAAAACAAAGAGCCTTTAGCAAAGAATTCACAATTTCTCTGGAGCTAGTTTAGCCCACCTTTTTCTGTTAAGTGAATATAATTTTTCTTTTTATACAGTATTTGGGGGGAATCTAGGCTATTACCTTGTTTGCTAGTTGTTTCAGCAAAAATATAATGCATATTTATAAAGCACCAACGATGACAAAAATTCCTACATAAGAACTTTACTGTATCCAACATGTAAGCAATATTACTGTTAACCCTAGTACAGTCATCCTAGGCAAATTCATGTTTTAATTACCAAAGACATTTCTAGCAATCCTCTTTTTTAAATTAAACAATGTTTTTTACTAAAACTCAAAAGGTCTGGATACAGACATAAAGGGAGAATGGTGATGCTCACATCACTAAATCTGATTTGATTAAGTGACGGAACTATGAGAATTCATTTCAGACAACTTTTCCAAATTAAAAAAAATTTAAATAATAGTATGCATGTTAAAAGACTACAAAAATATTTAGAAGAGGCCAAAAGAAGAAGATAGGAGAGAATCTAGCACACAGGGAGAATGTGGTCTGATTTTTCTTTTTATAGCCATAACCTCAAATCTTGGTTGAAGGATGACAGTATATAACCAAGGCCCAACGCTTGATAAGAAACAATAAACTATGTTCATCTGGAATCTTCTACAACCATCCCCCCAAAATAAGTAATCAAATAAAACAAAATAAAACAAAAACTAACAGGAGGTTTCGAGAAGGAATCAAAGAGTGAAAGGTCTGTATTCATTATATAAAAGATATACTCTCACCCCACAGAAAGTCTTTCAAAAAAGTCCAAGACAAGGAGTATGCTCAGGAAGAAAAAGAAATTAGTAGAAAGCACAAGCACTGTTTACTATGATCAGAAACCACACAGGGTCTTTCTCACCGTTTTTGCCAGGCTGCAGGCCTTTTCAGGAGAGTTTAGAATCTCATAGTAAAAGACTGAGAAATTAAGTGCCAGGCCAAGTCGAATTGGGTGTGTAGGCTGCATTTCTTTCTTACTAATTTCAAACGCTTCCTGGTAAGCCTGCTGGGAGTTCGACACAGTGGCTATAAGAAAGATGAAAAATAGTAAAGGTTGAGTTCTTTCATAGGTTGCATCACACACTGGATCCACCATCAAATTATTTTACCAAACTAGGCAGGAGCACATGTGACCTACCAAATGAGGTGTCTCTACTATTCAATTAAATGTTTGCTAAATATTTATTCTAAGCCAAGAACTGCATTAAATTCTTTGGAGAGAAATGAAGATGATTATCGCAAAGTCTATTAAAGTAGTTAAGAAACAGATAAGCTAGAACGTGGAAAACAGTATGCTCTAGCAGAAAACTCCTGGGCTTTAGAGTCATTACACTTAAACTTGAATTCCCAACTCTTTTTTTTTTTTTTTTTTGCCTAGGCTAGAGTGAGTGCCGTGACGTCAGCCTAACTCACAGCAACCTCAAACTCCTGGGCTCAAGCGATCCTTCTGTCTCAGCCTCCCAAGTAGCTGGGACTACAGGCATGAGCCACCATGCCCGGCTAATTTTTTCTATATATATTAGTTGGCCACTAGTTTCTTTCTATTTATAGTAGAGACGGGGTCTCACTCTTGCTCAGGCTGGTTTTGAACTCCCGACCTCGAGCGATCCGCCCGCCTCGGCCTCCCAGAGAGCTAGGATTACAGGCGTGAGCCACCGCGCCCGGCCTAATTCCCAACTCTTATGCACTAAGTCTGTGGCTTGGGGCAAAACCCCTCATAAGCCTTGGTTTCCTTACCAGAAAAATGGGAAGACTGCTACCTAAACTCTATGGTTGAGGCTGAGGCAGGAGCCCAGGAGTTGGAGGTTGCTGTGAGCTAGGCTGATGCCACGGCACTCTAGCCCTGACAACAGAGTGAGACTCTGTCTCAAAAAATAAATACATACATACACTGTATGGTTGGGTGAGGAATAAATGAGATTCTAAAGTACTGGGCACACAGTAGGCACTTAACAAAGTGTAGATATAGTTATCATCATCACAATAATACATGATACAAGAAATGCATCACTACAGTAGTTTCATACCATCAAAGTTTCACCTCTAAAAAAGACAGCTACCAAATAATCCTCAAGATAAAGATAAAGGTCTCTTTAAGTGCACTCTACACCAGACTTTTAATGCCTCTATGTTTGCCCCTTGGATATATTTTGCCAACTTCCATGATCCTGTTTATCACAACGCTGGGGTCTTTTAAATTCTCAGTGCTGTGATGTTGGTGTCTATGGTGAACAGACAAAGCAAAAACTTTGCTCCCATGAAAGAAGACTAGCTCCACTACTGATCAAATTTTTTT